TTATTTATTTGCATGTGAAATTGAAGATTTTGCTCTTGTATTATGGTTATTAAAACACAATGGGAAAAGACTTAACGATGAGATATTAGAACAGCTAGCTACCTTTTATAATATATATATGTTGAATTGTCTCACAAGTAGCATACCGAGCATGAATCTCAAGAACTACTTTAGGGTTTATTCATCCATCATGGAGTCCTAGTGAAAATTACTTGACACCCACCTCATTACGGAAATTTGAGGAAGTTGTGGTTAAAATTATTTTAAAATAAGAACTTTTTCATTTCATAAGAATTTAAAACGCGTTAAAAAAAATTCGTGTTGAATGAGTGAATGATTTATCAAAACTTTTCTACGTATTTTTACACAAACGAGCACGTAATCTTAGTTTATAATTTAGCTATAACAAAAATGAACATATTAAATAGTAACATTAACATCAATATTTCTTCTATGACTTATATTTTAACAACATTAACAAATTGAAATAACTCTCATATAAAGAGACATTAACCATATGTATATATACCCATAAAAACACAAAAATTATATCATTAATTAGTAACATTATTTATGTACACATGTTTTTTGATCAACCTATTGATGTGCCTATGCAACTTCCATACCTAGAAAATGTTCTAAGAAATACTTAAATTTATATGTATGTTCACATCAATGATCAATCAATGGCTACAGTAGTTTTTTGTACGATAAATAGTTGACATGGAGATTTCAATGAAACTAAATAAACCAAAAAAAAAGGTCCAATAATTTTGAAGTGCACAAGAAGTAGGCAAACAATCTTCTTAATTCCTGAAATAGATCTAGTCATAGACGACAGACGGCTAACAACTTATATTGGTGAGTTTGACACAACTCTCGATATTAAAACAAGGTTAAAAAAAAAAAGAAAAAAAAAAAAAGAAAAGAAAGAGAGATATGTTAAGCACAACACTCATTGATTGTATGGAGGAAGGAAGAGATTAATTCATGAGGTTAGTCCCTGTTTATTTATTGGGTAAACAGTTCAGGAATGCTCTCCCTGTAGTTTCAATAATAAGTTTTTCCGTGGACATTAGGTGATCTTGGAAAAGAGGTAACCATGATGAAGACCCTAATGAAATTTCATATGTTGAAGTGTATGATAAGTAAACAGAAGATTGTGACAGATGGTTACTACTGCATGTTTTTTCCCCGGCCGGTGCCACGAATCGGTATACTGCAGATTTGTCTGAGTTGTGAGAGAAGACTTATGGCTCAATAATTCAAACACTGATGCAATCTCTCAATTAATCTAATTCCCAGAATCATAACTAAAAGTCATTTTTTTTTCTTTAAAAGTTGTTTCAGTTAATTAATCATGATGCAGTTTCGTCCTGACAGGTATCTATGTACTTAAAAATCATGCAAGAACATATATATGTATACTCTAGCATTTATTTTCTTTCTACATATATACTTCATGCAAATTCTCCTATCTGGTGCTGGTGGGAAGCTATTAAATTGCCTTTACCGTCAAGCAATAAGAAAACCCCATCACTGATGGATTAATTGAAGTTTGTAAACAAACAATATTATATTGAAAAAAAAAATGCAATTTTAATTTCCTGCAAATATGCATGTCTGTTAGCTAGCTAGCTAGCTGCTTGCGTGAACTGCTGGAATTAATTAACTTTGAAGCTGAAAGTACATTTCGTTTAGTACTTATGTTTCTTAATTTACATCATATAGAATAATTGGAGCCGATCCATCTTAATTAACGGATGATTCTCTTTACTCTTGTATATATGTGTGGCCTATTGTGAGCTTAAGAGAAGTAAGTAAGCTTATTATATATGTTTTATTGAAATATATATGTAACGGATTAAAATAACGCTTGTACACTTTATTGATAATAATAATATTTTCTTTGCCCTTCTAAGAATGAAAATATATACTTATGATTCTCTTCTATTTGTTTCACCCTTTTTGTCTTATGTATCAGTTACGAAGAAAGAAAACCCAAATAAAAAGAGAGAAAACAGCATAAGGAGAGGGAAGGGAATCCAGGAGATGACCCAAAGACTCTAAACTCTAATGAAGGTGTGAAACGATGTCGTTTGAGTTAATCATTTTTGTAATTAGGAGACCCTCCGCTGTCTTGGGCACTCTTTTCTCCCCCACGGGGTGTTTTCCGTTGGCCCCACATTTATTGGCACCATTTGACATGGCAACAAACCAGTGGCTGATTGTGGGAGGAGTGGGACCCAACAGCACATGGCATGGTCGTGTTTGGTCTGAATCTTAAACAGAGTTTACGTGCCGCAGTCTACGTGACTTAATTTGTCTTATCTGCATGGATTAATTAATAATAAGAAGACCACTGTTTCCATTAAAAAAAAAGGAAAAAAAAAAAAGACCACGGTTACAGTCATTGTTTTAGATTTCATAATTAATCTGCTCTACAAAATTTTCATCAGATGGTCTTATCTTTACCATTATTCTGCCTCATATATTTTTCTTTTTCCTATTTTGTCATTTCTTTGCTAATTTACTATTATATACATAGACATACCACGTCTCATTTCTTCCGAATCTGCCCCTAGTTGGTGGTGCACTTGGTAAAAAAGTCTTAAAATTTTAAGTTAAAAATCTTAAATTTTAAATTGAGTCAAATAAAAAAAATTGAGAAAAATAAAAAATTTGAGAAAAGCAAAAAATTATCATCTTTTATATAATTTATTTATCATCAAATATATTAAAAAAAAATTTCATCTACAACCTAATTAATTAATAAACTTGATGATAGATTATACAATAATTGAGCAAATTCGTTCCGGCTTGTGTGAATGGAAATGTGAATAATCTAATTTTGTAAGCTACATTGACGACAAGGGGGCAATCACGTAATAATCCCAAAAGGAGAGATTTCTTGGGTAACTTAATTTCCATATTATTAAAAGAATAGAGATGCATGAAGATATGAACCTTGTAAATGAAGACCATTAGTAGGTGAGAGCTTCAAAGGTACACCCTTATTCTTTTTCTTCCCATCAACAGCTTAAATTCCCGGCTTTTCTTGTGCATGGTAAGTTAGAAAAACCCTAGACAGAAGCCTTTCATCAACCTAGAAACCTAATCGAAAGAACTTGTTTTGTTTTCTTTCTAGCTACAAGTAAGCTGTAAACTTAAGCTTACAAACCTTTCAACACTTGATCCCTTTTGTTTCTTGGAGAAATTCATCTCCTCCTTTCTAAGTAATTACCAATCAGAAAACCCTAATTTTTTTTTCTTTTTATTTCTCGTTAGTTTTTGCTAGTACTAGCATATATGTTTTTCAAGACTTCATTTGGTGTCGTTTTCTTTTACTACAGAAGCAAGGTAGTGTGAGAAGAGAAATCGAAATGGAAGGAGATCAAGGAAAAGATGAGAAGTTGCCACCGGGGTTTAGGTTTCATCCTACAGATGAAGAACTCATCACATATTATCTGGCAAACAAGATATCGGATGCTAGCTTTACGGGAAGAGCAGTTGCTGATGTTGATCTCAACAAATGCGAGCCTTGGGACCTTCCAGGTACTTGTAACCTCAAACCTATAGTTTTGGTGGTAGAGATCTTAAATTATCAGATTAATTTCTTCTTCCCAGTTTTGTTTTTAAATTAAAGAAAACGTACGGTACATATATAATTTAGAATCAATACAAATTGAATACAAACCCTTCTTCTTGATTTGAAACCTTTAATTGAGGCATAATATTTATTTATTGGTATACAAAATTATAACCCTCATAAATAAGTTATCATAGAGGAATAAATCGATCAATTATCAAAGAAATGAAATCTTTTCTCTCTTTTAAAATGATTATTTAAAAAGAAAAATCAACGAATCCAATATGAGATTAATCTTGTTTATTTTCTCATATATATCTCATAGATCTTTTTTTTTTTTTCTCTTTTAATTAGCAAAGAAGTTTCTCATTTCTCACATCATCTATGGTAATGTTTTTTTTTTTTATCTTGTGTCATATATGTACAAATATATTTTGTTCATTTTTCTTGTCCTAGCTAGGTTTCCTTTCTCTCATCAGCTGGTGCTGAATCGCTGATCAACACTAATCTAAATTGTTTGTTTAGTTGTATAGTCCTACTTCCAAAAAAAAAAAAAACTCAAAATCCTCGATGATGAATTTACTTCTTGAGAAAATGGAAGGTTTAGCCCCTTAGTTAACTGATTACCTGACAGCAAAATCCAAGTTCAGTCGGGTAGCTGTAAATCATTAACTTTCTCTGAATTATTCTTCTGGGGCAACGGTCAATCAATTATGAAACAAATGCAGACCTCTAACTAGAGAGATTTAATTAGAGATTTAATTAATTTTAAACATCTTTTTAAAGGAACAGGGGTGTATTTAATGTATTTTTTAATGACTAAATTCTATAAATAAATTAAAAAAAAAAGATATTGACTTAAATTTTATTAAACATTCAATTAAAATTATCTAGCACTATGAAACTGTTGTCTATCTATGTCTTTTTTTTTTTTTTTTTTTTTGATAATTGTTACAAGATACAATAAAAATACCTTAATTTGTGCTTTTAAAAAAACCCCTTTAAAAACCTTTTTAGAAAATAAGAGGATTAACTAGCTATTCATGTTTGTGTAGTTCACAGTCATCGTAAGTATGTACAAAATGTCACTGTCTCTTAATTCATATAAAGGATCTCTTCAAATTCGGCAAATTAATACCGCAGCATACTCATCTACTCATCAACTGTGGATAATTAGTAATTTTTTATCTGATTAAAATAGGCCAGAAAAAGGCAAGAAAAGAAGTCTACATATTTTCCTAACCAACTTAGCTGAGTATAGTTTCTTATGAAACGTATTACAAGACCTGGATATATCCATATGTTAATTTTCTCAACAAACAAAGAAAATTAAGGATCTAGATCTTTGATTAATTAACTTTCTCAAAATATTTTTTTTTTTTCTAATCTACCTTAATCAGGGAAGGCCAAAATGGGAGAAAAAGAGTGGTATTTTTTCAGCCTTCGAGATCGGAAATATCCAACTGGAGTCAGAACAAACCGAGCAACGAACACCGGCTACTGGAAAACCACTGGGAAAGACAAGGAGATCCTCAACAGCGTCACATCAGAGTTGGTTGGGATGAAGAAGACTTTAGTTTTCTACAGAGGGAGAGCTCCCAGAGGAGAGAAAACCAACTGGGTCATGCATGAATATCGTATTCACCCCAAATCTGCCTTTAGAACTTCCAAGGTACCACCATTTCTTTAATTTAATTTTTCAAAATTTAAGGACTCGATGGTTACCTATACAAAAGTCCAGGGATTAGCGGTGGAATTATCTCTAATTTTCTGAAGTTAACACTAAAATATCGTCTTTCCGTCTGCAGCAGGATGAATGGGTGGTTTGTCGCGTCTTCAAGAAGAGCGCCGGTGTGAAGAAATACCCCTCAAACCAATCAAGAGCGGTCAATCCTTACAACGTGGAAGTAGGACCAAGTGTTATACCGTCAACCATGATGCCGCCGGAGAACTATCATCAGTTTTCGACGGGGAGAAACTACGTTCCCAATGCAGAACTAGCAGAGCTTTCTAGGGTGCTCAAAGGCGGTGCAAGCAGTAACATAAACCTGCCAATGCAATCCCAGATGAATTATCCGGTAGGAGGAGGATTCACAATATCCGGACTGAATTTATATCTCGGAGGAACCACAGCGCCGCCAGTCATGAGGCCAATGCAACCGCCGGTAACTCCTCAGGCGATGAATCAGGCTGACGTTACGGCGTCCATGGTGACCGGCACTTCTTTTGCTACTGAGGCTGCGTATGAAATCAGTCATGCAAGTGGGCCAAGCAGCAGATATATGGGCTTCGACCATTGCATGGACCTGGACAACTATTGGGCTACTTACTGAGGAAAAAGACTCAATCAAACAAATTAATGCTCGACCCAGTTTGTTATGCTAAAACAGTTTAATTGTGCCTTTCGTTAATTAGTTTGAAATACTTTGATTCGGGGCATTAATGGGAAAAATACCTGATTGTTGAAGATTTTTAATTAGGAATTCAATGTTTCCCCTACCAACTAGGAATTTATCAATATTCTAACAGTTTCTCTTCAATGAATTATACAGCATTCAATACTTCGCCAAAAAAGGTTAAAGATAAAAATAAAAATTTATAACTTTAGAAATCACGACGTTACACAATAATTTTCTTTAAAAAAAAAAAAAGATTAATACAATGATATGATATTAACTAAAAAAATTCATCCCAATACCTATACAACCTGAATTTTAAAAAAAATGTAAAATTAATTATAAAATATCATTCATATTGTTAGTCTACCATTTTTTAAGACAAAAATACTATAGTCCAGCACTTGGTGGCCCAATGGCCACCCCCTGCAGGGACGTTTCCCCAAAAAAAAAAAAGAATTTCACACTGTTCAAAAAAAGAAAGACGAAAATATTATAGCTACCCTACTTATGCATCTCAAATAAGCTTTGGAAACTAACTACACACAGCATTCTTTTTTTTTTTTTTTTTGAACAATTTTACCAGGAGCTAGATTCGAACCATTGCCTCAGGGAGGAGGATACACTTTAAACATGACTTGACACTACTGGACCGAAAGCCCAAGTGCACACACAGCATTCTTAAATAGAAATAACCAAGATAAATAAATCAAGCGTGTGAAGAACATGTCAATAGGATGCAGAAATCACAGCCTGATGTACCCAAAAGGGAAAAGAAATGAAAAGCAAGAAGAAATCACTAACATAATAAATATCATGACCCCACTAACTGCTTCGGTTAGAACGTGGGAATGGTTTCAACAAAAAATTTAGAAGAATAAAAAATTAAAATTACAGTGAACATCAATTCACACACTGTCCATAACTACATTTCTAAGAATGTCTAACCGTGTAAATGGGCTCTAAACGAAGGAACAGATTCACAGGCTTCCAAAAAACAGCATCCTCCTCAGCAAATATTAAAGATTGAAGACTGAATAATTTATAGCCCAAGAAAATAAACGTCCTACTCTGCAGAAAAATATACACAAGTCATCACCTGGTTCAGTTGCCTTCACAGGATTACCAAAAAGAGTACAGTACTAGAGAATTTCCACAATACCATGCAGAATGTGCGATAAACAAACTACCATTCAATAAAATAAGAACATTTTTTTTAATAGAATCTATATGATGATGCAACCACAAAAGCATACCTCAAAAATTCCACTAGTGATAGAGGTAGACTGATATTACTCTATTTGTCCGGATGGCCCCTTTTTCCCTTTCGACGAGCATGATGGCTATGAGCATGTCGAGAGGGTTTCTTTGCCTTCTTGCTGCAGCAATAGGGATAACTAATCTCATTAGCACATGAAGATTATTTATTCCTTCTGAAGGGATGAGGGATTTAAAACCAGTTAATAAAATATATAACAGCATAAATTAGCAACACTTTTTATATGAATGACAAAAAATTCACCAATAAAAAGGGTTTATGATTTCAGAACTGACCAGAAAATAGCTGAAGAAATTCTAAACAAAATAATGATAGGTAGGGCCAATAAAGCAGAGGCCTGCAAGGATTAAATAATTTATACTATTAGCATCAAGTAACAAGCTAATAAATTATTTGACTTTAGCAGAACATAATCAACATCCAACAATGACCACAATTTGCAACTAGTATATAGATACCGCAAACCACTCCAGCTCTTTAGTTGCAAGAGGTTTTGTCAGCTCATGTTGCTTCAACATTTCTCGAACAGTAGCTTGAACCTATATATAAAAAATGAAAAGAAATTTGATTGAAAATGATATTTATGCAACACAGTTACAATAATAATAATAATAATAATAATAATAATAATACAAAAAGGATGCCATAACTTGAAATATCAATTCAGACTCCTAATTCTCATCGACTAGACCACAGTTGCAAGATTAAAGGAACAAAAATTTATCTAATATTATGCTTTCTCAGCAGGCAAAAGAAGATATTGATACCTGACCATGGTAGGTTGTTGCAGATTTAAGAAACTCTCCATAAGCATGAACTACCTTCTTCGTATAAGGCTTCATTACCAGTCGTACGTTTTTTATGTGAGGTTTTGCCACAGTTGCAATTTGATCAATATATGGCTTGCTGAACTTCTTAGCTTCCTATAAGCATATAAGATGTGCTTCAGGATGCCTGTCGAGGCGCATCATAGCAGATAAAATGAAATGATGTAATACAATAAAGCACATACCTGGAAGTATGGATCAACTATTTCTTGAATTCTGACAAGATGAGGAGTCATTGCAACTTTTGATGCCTCATAAAACTCCACTGTTTTGGCAGTTAGCAATTGCACATGTGGTTCAACTTGTGTTCTTACAACCAACCACTGCTCCTTTATAGCTGGAGCCCATTTCTGTCAGTGAAATTGAAAGAACAATCAAATATGGACATCGAATTAGAAAAAAATTCATGCAACCCAAATATAGTGACATGTACAAGGTCCCTGATTCAGAAATATTAACTTCACAGAAGAAGCTTACAGTTTTCACTGTCTCCAGATGTGGTTCAGCCCACTTTTTAACCTGAGCCTTCTTCTCAAGGGCCTGGATTAAATTTGGGCATGTTAAGAGACAATAATTCCATGTAATTCTCAACTATGATATTCCAACTAGCTAAAGAATTCAAAACACAATATCATCTCTTAACAATGATGTGACAATTTCCAACAAGTAACATACAGATGAGTTATATGGCAACAACAAAAAACAGATACCTTCTTCACTGCTATATTCATGGCAGGTTTTCCATGCTCCTTCCAATGTGTCTCAATAAATGCCTGCATAAAGATACAACCTCAGAATCAAAGGTGGGATTTGCAATGTGTAATACAAAATATATCATCCTTCCCTAAAGTTACCTGGCAATGGATCAACTGTTTGGCAAGCCAAGGAGGGAGCCATGCACCATGTGCCTGAAAAGATAAACCACTTTAAGCACCAAAGAACACAGAAATATGATATAATTTAATCCAAACTTGCTCTGACTATCAGCCCCAAAAGAAATAACAATCAGAAATGTATATCACTGGATTTGGCTCCTTTACATTCCAATTGAAAGTCCAGTCCACTAAAACTTCATAGGTAAATTTATAAAAGGAAAGCATATATATGCAGGTGGGTTGTTCCCCAGGTATGCTTGGGAGTATAGTGTACATGCTGTTTAATGTTCAATGGAGAAACTTGCCTTTTTCCAAACAAAAAAATTTATAATCAGTCAAAAAGGGAGAGGGGGGGAGGGGTGGTTGGACTCGAGCTGCACTTTCTACAGGAGGAGACAATCAAATACTGTAACATGATAATCAGTATTTATTACCTCCATCAACGCCTCATTTTTGGAGGTGGCTTCCTGCTTTGCCTTCATCATCTCTTCCTAATAGAACAAATTTTGAGGGTTAAAACTGCAAATGAGTTCAACATTAACCATAGCAGAGCATCTAGTTAGTCACCTAACAAGACATACCTCAGCAACTTTAAGAGCTCGTTCAGTTTTTCTTATTTTACTCTTCTGTTCATCACTGATTTTTTGAAGCTGAAAAGGACAAGTCATTTTCTATTACAGGTATACAACTCCAGCAGGATCAAATACCCAAAACTCAAAGGCAAAGTATAAGAAATACATTCAGATGCATATTATTAGACAAGAACAGTTATCAGGTTATTTTACTACCATCCTATAGAAATTATCAGATGCAAGTACTTAAACCTTGGCTTGCCCTGCCAAACAAGGTACAAAAGTAAAAAGAATTCTAGATATTTCTTTCTCTAAGTACGTGGGCATGGCCATTACTAGGACATAGAAACACACTTACAAGGATTAGTCAACAGCAAATAAACCAAACAATTAAAAGCATAAAAAGAGTCTTCAAATGCTAAAAATTTGAGGCCATCCAAACAAACTACTTCTACTACCACTTTGAACAAGAAAGTAATTGCATCTCAAAAAGAGTAAATATATATGGAGAAATATTGCAGCAACAACGTCATGCCACGATATTCTGATTTCTGACTTAACAAGTAGAAGAGGGAAAGGAAAGGAAACCTACATTTTCAAGCTTCAGGTTCAATTCAGTCAACTTCTTCTCAAATTCATTTGCTTGGGCTTCCAATGCTTCTTTCTCTTTTTGTTTCACCTCCAATTCAATTTTAAGTTCATCAACCTGTAGGAAAAGAAAATAAATCAACATAACGCACTCCTTGTCTCAAATCAGAAACTTCCTTTCTCAGTGACTACCTGCTTCTCCAATTCAACAGCCTGAGCATGAGCCTTTCCCACCCGTTCCTGAGCATCTAATTTGCCTTTTTTCTGAGAAAGACAAAGCATCGACAATCAGAGATAAGAAACTAGTTCAATAAAGATACAACTCACAACTCTTTTATATATAGATTTTGCAAACCTGAAGAGTTGATAATTCAGTTTGCAAAGATGCAACACTATCAGACATATGTCGAATGATTTTCTCTTTCTCAGCTATCACCTGATCCTTTTTGTTCAACTCTTGAGTTTTGTTTTTGAGCTCCGACTCTTCATGTGAAAATAACACAGAATTATCAACCAAAATAGTTGAAAATCAACCATTCATTGTTTGTTAACAAGTTAATACAAACAATTCCACGATTAACACTGCAAATTCAATTCTCAAATTAACAGTTAATTAGAGTAGATATCAATAACTTCAAGATTCAAAGTCTACAAAGCCTGAAAACCTAAGTTCGGAATCCAGAGTTTCATATTCTTCATTTCCTCTCAACATAAATAAAAACGAGAGAGTAACAGGAAGAGAATCGAAAAGCTAACCAAAATCAAGTATCTTAGACTTGAGTTCGTCCAACTTGATCTTGAGAGCAGAAAACTCGGCGCCAGCGGATCTGCGTGACGGTTTTTCCGTCACAGCCTCTCCGTCTTCGTCGAACTCATATTCCGCCGCCCCGTGCGAGAAAACCAGAGCAAGAAAGAGTGAAAGAAGAACTAGCTTTGAGGCCGCCATCTGCCGCGAAGGGGCCACCAAAAGTCGCCGGACAAACAGAGAAACCGATGCAGGGGTCGATGTTTTATATTATTTTTCTTGTGAGTATCAGAAGAAACTGGTTTCCTGTTCGATTGTTGAATGATTAAATCCAGATTTTTTTAATAAAAAAAAGAAAAACCTTTAAATAAGGCCTCAAACTTGTTCACCATCTGTAAGTGCATCCTCATACTTTTCTCCTTTTGAAAATGGGTTTTTCTAATTTAGAGTGTAGCTTAAGCATGTATTTAATCTACCTTTTAGCCACTAAGTTACATAGAAAAACAAAGTTTGACTTTGATTTTTGACAATGAATTAATTGAATTAATACATGTGGCACTAGTATTAAAATTAATATCAACTTTTTAAATTTTTTATATGAATTATTAACTAAAAAAATATATTAATTATACTTTTAACATGTGTTCTAAAAGTACAATTTTAAAAAATCCTTTACCAATCAACTCCTTAACTTCCCAACTTGTAGAATTTTACTCAACTTGAATGGCAAAAAGTCATGAACAACAAGAGGCTATTAATGTATTAATTGTTTTGCCTTATAATCTAGTTACCGTTCCACATAAAATTGTAAAGTTACAATCATAACATGTTATTAAATAAGTAAATACATAAAATATTATAAGTGAATCTTTATAACATATCATTAAATAAGTAAATGCATATAATATTATGAGTGAATCTCTAAATAAAAAAATTAAATATATAAAAATATATTATGTTATAAGCTTACAAATCACATAGTATTGTAACTATATTATTTTTTATTATACAAAACATTCTTTCCTTCTAATATAATGTATCATTTCGCCTCAAAATAATATTCTTTTTTAACCTCTATAAAAATGAATTTTGCCAATACATAAATACATGACAATTTTTCAATTCATTCTCAATAGTAATTTACAAGAAAAAGTCCAATGTCAACATAAAGCAAATGGTAACAAAGCAAACATGCAATAAATTTCTTTGGGTGGTTCTCCCATGTATCGAAATAGAGAGTTAAGGGATTGATTTCTCCTGTAAAAGAAACATAACGTTTCAATTGCCCGTGGTGTAGAAGTTGATGGACTTCTTTGAAGAAGAGGTGGTGCGGCGAACAGCACGTGTCGATGCTATGCACGAGAACCAGTGATACGTGGCGGTTAATGAGATGTTGAGAGGGTACCCGGTTGGTGATCGAATGCGAAAGCCCAACCAACAACACGGTTTTCGCATTTAATTTCACTTGTAATGGGCCTGAGCCCTTGAGGCCTTGCATGAGATGAACAGAGCCCAATGTAGCCCAAGAAATTCCTAAGACTGAGTGCGAATGTTCAACACCCCAGATTCGTTTCTTTAAAAAAAAAAAAAAAAAAGGTTAGGTACATTAAAAAGATTAATTAATTATTGTTTTTTAATATGATTACAATCAGTTGAGAGAATAAG